CTCATTCTACCTCTACACCTTTCATCTAAATAGGTTCAGTTGTGAAATCGTGAAAAGGTAAGATAGACATTAGTTACCTTCCTATTTATAATACTGATCCAAACATAAATGTGAAATGAGACCCAAGTTCAAAATTCATAAATATGCGATTATTTTTAACTTCGCCGACAAAATAATTTCTATTAGATAATTATGGGTGCCAAGCTCAATATTAGGGCTATATTTCACCGGGACACCATGGCGGCGCAACCAGTCGCCGCTACCAACAAAATGTATAGAGCTTTGCGCAACCAAACGGACACCAGGTGAGTAACTCTCTATAGAGCTGTATACATTTTGTTGGTAGCCGGCGACTGGTTGCTCCGCCATGGTGTCCCGGTGAAATATAGCCCTAAGTCTTGGTTAGTTTTGTCTAAATCTAGATCTATCCCTCAGTCTTCAGTACACACAGTCCACCAATGCCACTGACCTTGATCGATACTCACAGCTAATATTAATATACAACAGCTCTGGAAGCGGACCATCGACCATCAGTTTAATGGTCTGCAGGTGGACTGTCACTTCACATGCTTTTTCTCATGATTTTCATAGATAGTAGATTAACTTAATATTTTTTCTTGGAAATGAAAGCCGTAAGTTTCTCATTACTTTCCTATTTTAAAATTTAGTTTTTTACAGATCATGATAAATTGTAGCATGTTATTCTGGGTTAATAAACAATAATAGTGTAAGCAATAAAAGTTTCATCAAAATCCGTTCAATAGTTTTTGCGTGAAAGAGTAACAAACATCCAGACATCCATACAAACTTTCGCATTTATAATATTAGTAGGATTGGGTGTGGACTCATAGTTTTAACGTTATTATTAGAGACTACAAAAATAAAAAGAAATGAAAAAATAGGAACTTGCAAGAAGGGAATCATTGAAGTCGCTATTTTAGTTTATTTTTTCTTACATTCCTAAGTACTCCTGGTTTATGTGTTTAATCGAGTATGTATTGATATAATTTATTATCGTCAGAGTAAGAAATACTTAGAACATCCATGGTTAAACTGGTTAAACTCAGTATTAATTTACTCCCAACCTGGATGTTTATCAATGAACGAAGGAATCTTAACAAAGTTGTTGCAACTGAAAATAAATTTATCAATTTCTCCTCATTTTTAAACCTTTCGTCCATTGATATAGGGTCCAAAATGTATCAATGAAAGCTGCGTATGGTGTTAGGCGCACTTCAGCCGTGCGCCCGCGCAACAATTCAGGTCAATTTGTGGTACCACATGCAAATTAGAATATTTGCGGCACATTCCTATGTAGGTAATGTGTTTTAATTATTGTTTAGTGTTTTGACATTGTTATCATTCACAAACGATGACATTTTGATGAATGAGATGATGATATTTAGATTAAATAATATATAAGTTTTATTTAGTATATGGAAATCTACTTATTACCTATTTTACACAATAATTCACACAATAAAACACGACTTTTTTCATTTGCGTGGGATTAGTCTTGTCAAATAGTTCGTGACACCCAAAGTGGCTAAATAGTTGACAACAGAAACTTATTCCAATTGTAACAAAGACGTGCTGCGAACTTATTGGCAACTTTGTTTGACGCTGACTGTACTTGAATGAGGAATAAATGTGTCTTTTGTAGCGTTCAATAGGTCAAAAGAAATAAATTAAAAACACATTATGCATAACTATTATTATACGAGTACTTACAAAGATTTTCATCGTCTACAATCTACAACGTCCGACGACACAGCGGGAGTCTATTGCACGTCGAAGGCAATTTATTGTCTACGGCGATAGCAACTAAAGCTTAAGACACAAGATGTGTGAAAAACGACATACGATTAGAGTCAGATGATCGTGACGTGCTATTACAAGGCGATTTGTTTGAATTACGAATGTCCGGTCCGGTTTTGAGATGAGAACTTTAAAACCACATCTTCTGTACTACTCTTTATATTGCGTTTTACTTACTACGGCAATGATAGAGCTTTTTGTGAGTTAGGTCTATTACATTTTTCGAAAATTATTTATCAACTAAAAAAGCTTATGCATAAATATTTATGGAGAAGCTTTGCAAAATTTGGAGTTTAAATTGAAGTTTACGTGAAAGTTCACGTATAAGTATTTTATTTTCTTTCACCATGCTCAGTAAGTTTATTTCTACCATAATGCTTGATGTTACTACAAAAGATAAGAATATTATTATGCATTATTATCATAACTTTAAATCTGATTCCATTCAGATTCTTGCCAATGTCTAATATTTTTCCTTACAGTTTATTAATTTCATATTAGTCCTTCATAAATCGAAACAGCCAATCTATAATCCACCTGCGTTTTCTAGTCTATCTATCTACATGTATATTATGTACCTGTCTCAGTAAAATATCATTAGCTAAAGTGTACTTATACTTCATGTTCAAGCTGTAGACCTTCCATCACCCAGGAAGATGTAAACATGGCCTCAGGTCATCGTATCGTATCGTATCTGTTATGTCATAAACAATGTTGCGTTCATATTATGTAACGTTTGTTTACTATGTTCATGGGAAATAGCAATAATTTTACTGCTTGAGAGCCAAAGCACACGATGCGTTGCGACGGTGGTGCGACGCCGGAGCGGTGTCTCTGCGTCGTCTTAAGCTCGATTCACACATATCAGTGAAGCCACAGTTCCGTCACAGTGGCCGCTCAGTTCAGTATCAGTGCTACAGTGTTGCGTCAGTGAAATATTTTGAATATTTTTAAATTTCAGAGAGCTATTTCAATATTTTTGTTCAGAAACTATGAATGAAGTAGGGTAGACCGGGGACAATAGTACCATTTTTTGGAAATTGTTCAATATTGAGAAATCTAATGAAATGTAACTTATTCTGTTAGGATGCTGTAAAAACTAGACTCTTAAGCTACAAATTTAAGCATGCAGAGTTGAACTATTATTTCGAATACTTAATGAAAAACGAATTTGAACTGTACGATGTCTCATGTTACAATTGACCCCTACAACGGGTCAATTGTACCAATAATATATGAGGCAATAAAAGTAGTTATGTTTATCTAATCATCACCTTTATTGGTATTCTGTTCTCTTAATCTCCTACAATCTCACCTAAAATTCAGTCATTTTCACAGTGAATGCCAATAATTCGCTGTCGATACAAAGTTTAGAGCCTGGATAAACTATTGACAACAATACTTTGGTAACAAATAGCATATTAGGCAACTTATGGGCTCATATATTTGACATAAAAACTTACTGCGGCTGGGCAAAAAACAAAAATCCTTCCTGTACACCTTTGTTTGTCAGCACAAGCGCCGCCGACTGGTGAGCGGATGGAAACACAAAAAGCGCATATTCTGACGCTATGCACACAATCTAACGTCGCTTGTATGAAGAAATATCGCCGATGGTACTATTGACCCGTGGTACTATTGTACCCGGTCTCCCCTAAGTTATTTTGTTTTTGATGCCGCGGCGGCGTCCATGATCCGACAAAAAATATCGTCGTCAACGAATACGTCCGTGATTGCCGGTGTCGGCACTGACACTGAGAGCACTGTGTCGTCACTGACACTGACAAGTGGGGATGCGTTCATAGAAACTGTATGAAATAATATTTCGCACTGTGCCGGTACTGAGCCTGAACTGTGACTTCACTGATATGTATGAGTCGGCCTTTACATAGAAATATCTGTGGCGGGCACACGAGCGGTGCGGTTCGCCGAAATCTTTGCGATGTGGCGTCGCAACACATCGTGTGCTTTGGCTCTAACACTATGTTGACTATTTTGAAATTAAGCCCAAAGTCGTATGACAACATATACTTAGAGTTTGGTTTCGCCAAAAGTTTCGTAAAAGCTCCGGTCAATGCGGAAACCAATACTGAAGTTTAGGGAAAGTTTTCTTATGATCGAATAAGTAATGGAAAACAAATAAAACTTGACTAATGCGATCGAGGCAAATTATTTGTAGAAAAGCTCGAGTAAGAGTATGAAAACTTTTAAGTTTAATTAGATGTTTTATGTATTAAATACGAACACTATTTTAAAAGATCAACTTTAGTTACTAAGTTAAAACTAACTTAGCACCCAATTCTTCTGTGGTTGAGGATTCCGGATGAATTTCCCTTCATTTAGCCTGGTCATTACTTAGAGCAAAGAGCTTTCCTATTGTGGTAAAAAAAATACTTAAGCCACACCATTCATTTCAATAAAAAAGTCATAGGTAACATAACTGACCCAATCAATCAACAATTTCGAAATCAAGCTACTACATTGTTGATACCCAAATTACAATAACAAATACGGTGACCGAAGCAAATTACCGCGTTTGACACAACTTAACGACGGCACATCAAACTGATTACTGGACTCTTAAGCCCTTGTAATAGGGGCGATTTTCCAACAAAAAATGTGTGACTTGATGAGCATTACGTGTGATACAACAGCGGATCGTAATCTAATCGTGCGGCATTGGGACCCGGTTCTAGCGCTCGCCTTGGCACCGATGTGTTCACTTTCTTCGACACGACAGATAAATTAATGCCTTGTGGTACAAGTTTAGAGAGGGATATACAAGTTCGAACTTAACTAAATCATTATTTATTATGGGAAAACACAGAATTATAGAAATATTTTTATTTGATCACATTTTGAGTAATTTAAGACTGCGATGATACTCTAGAATACCTAGTGATCTTGATTTGAGCGGTTGTATTTGCCAATGTGTGAAGTTCCAATAACTTGTACCTACCTATTACAAAATAAGAAGGTTACAAAATAAACTTCATACATGTGTTAAAAATATGACACTGTATTGAACATTTTAACACAATTTTTCTCTATCAATCGATCGATTTCAATTCGAGATCGTCACCCCTTTACCAAAATACAAGTGACATAGAAATCTAAAGCGAGCCTGCAATGTATATGATATTTAGTCACAAAAATTAATATCCTTCTCTCTTTGTCCTCAGGCCTCTTCAAAGGCTCAACGACGACGCTCGACGGGATAGGCCTCCGGCCGATGCCAGCCGAACGGCCGAAGACGCTGCGCAAGCTGAAGTCAGTGTACGACGCATCGCCCACCGAACCACCAGCCCATACCCTCAGCAGCAATGGGCAGGCTGACAGAAGCGTCAATGGACTGGAGGAGGAAGTCAGGAGGCGCAGCAATACCACCAGCTCTACCCAGAGTGGGGACAAGTCGCTGTCCATACTCAGTCCGTTCGATGAGCAGGTAAGATATTCGGCACTATTCTCTTCTCTTGATCCTACCCTTGCAACTGAAGAAGACTGATAGAAAGTAACCTGAAGTCAGTGTACGACGCGTCGCCCACCGAACCACCAGCACATACCCTCTGCAGCAATGGGCAGGCTGATAGAAGCGTCAATGGACTGGAGGAGGAAGTCAGGAGGTTCAGCAATACTACCAGATCCACGCAGAGTGGGGACAAGTCGCTGTCCATACTCAGTCCGTTCGATGAGCAGGTAAGATATTCGGCACTATTCTCTTCTCTTGATCCTACTTTTGCGAATGAAGAAGGCTGATAGAAAGCAAGCTGAAGTCAGTGTACGACGCGTCGCCCACCGAACCACCCGCCCATACCCTCAGCAGCAATGGGCAGGCTGATAGAAGCGTCAATGGACTGGAGGAGGAAGTCAGGAGGCGAAGCAATACCACCAGTTCTACCCAAAGCGGGGACAAGTCGCTGTCCATACTTAGCCCATTCGATGAGCAGGTAAGATATTCGGAACTACCCGGATTTTACCAGGGAAAAAAGAAAGAGTTCTTAGTTATAGATCGACCTATTCAAAATGTCACATAGACCTATCGGTATTCGGTATTCTAAACCTGTCTCATTTTAGTCTACACTTGCCCGATGAAGAGCAGTTAGCCAAAGTCATTTGCCCAAACCCTCGAATTTTGAGCATTAGAGACTATCACCCCAATCAGTGGAATTTCTGAAGGGAAAATTTAAGCATACCTATTTTAAGGTCTGATAGTGCTAAATGAATAATAAAATTACTCAAGTACACTTTTTGCTAAATGTAAGTGATGCATTTTAACAGAATTGCAAATAATCAAAGTAAACAGAGTGCTTATCGGTCAAAACTAATTTTCATGATAAGTTAGAAGGAATGTCATATAAGGAAAGAATAGCTATGAATGGTAGTAAGCGTCCGTGACTCATTAAATTAAATAAGAATGATTACATGATTGAGGTATCTTCAAGGTAAATTATGTTTTATTTTTAGCGTCATAACGTCAACATTGATTATTCTTCATATTTTTGTTTTAGTCACTGAAAAACTATTACATAAGTATTATTCCTTTACGAGTAAAAGGGATTTTCTCATTTTAAAGTTCAGCTTGATTTCCAATATCTGTTACTAAAATTGAAGTCTATAGAAGCTGATAACATCAAAGTGAGAGCCTGAAAATGTTTCCTTTTAACCCTTAAATACCACCTCGAAATACCAACATAACCTATTAGAAATATCTTGCAATCGCTAAACATTTCGTGAGAAATACTTGCTCTTTATCTGTGAACTTAATAATAACTAGCTTTGTTAGTTGAGCCAATTATTAAAATGCGATTAAAGGCTTAATTGTTAGCGTTAAAAAGACTACTAATAAACGTAATTACAGTGTTTACACCCAACCTGTCATAAGCCTATTAATACGACAGCAAGTAGTTATTAACCTTGGACTCGGGTGTGGCTCTACGTCACCGACAAACGACGTGACGTAGCGAGAGCGACGCTACACGACGCGAATCATATTTTATGATGTGTCGCGTTTTGTCGCAAACTAGAATTATAATAAACTAAAAACTGGGACTGCCTTTGGGTTGATCGTGTCGCTAAGACAACACGTTACTAAAACGCAGAACAACGATACAAAGGACGGAAGTAACGCATTTTGTAAAAATACACGATATTGGCTAAATCGTTGGGCATCTCTTGTCACCATAATATTGAATTGATGTCATAATAAAATTTACTTTTCCACTCATCATACAAAAATGTCGCCCTTGTCAGCCGTAAAACTGCAGAACACATTTTTATCGCCATAATAAATTAAAAGTTATCACCATATCGCTTGCAAAAACCACAATGCGGGTGCCCCTATGGCATAGGGCCTTGTCATAGCTGAAGCTATTGAGATAAGAACAAAACCATCTGCATACGAACGTTATAAATGCCGTCTGCATTTTCTGCAGGTGTCGGTGCACAGATGCCGATGAAGATAGCCATGCACCTTTTAATCGTGCGCATTAAGAGAATGACAGCGAATTTAATTTATTAAGATAGGTGGACTGTTCGAGGAAGTGCATTCTTTAGGACGTCGCATTATGATGTTACTTTTTTTATTTTTAATTAACCTTCGAATATCAATTTCTGTTAAAATAAAAAGTATCTAAACGATACAAGAATATTTAGTTAAATTAATAAAAGCAAGGACAAAGAACTATTATTATCAATTGCGAAATGATGTAACTGTCCAACACAAGATGTTGAAAAAGTCTTTCAGCAGTTCGTTCAAAATCTACCCCGGCTACGATAAGCATTAATATCTTAGGTTTGCTTGTACATATTACACCATTATTTTTGTAATGATCGTTTCATACACGAAGACGCGCCCCACCATTCTTCCGCGAATGTTTGAGTGTTATCGGTACACGCTAAATTATCAATGAGTGCACACGCACACTACAATAATAACGCTCGGATCCGATCAAACTCCCACACCCCGCGCTTTCCTCGACCAAAAATTGGTGGGGCGCGTCTTCGTGGATGAAACTATCTATATGCGTTGTCTCTGTAAAAGCCCTACAATTCCGCACTTTTGTCCACAGGAGGAATGGGCAAAGATCTCCGAGATAATGGCCTCCTTCGGCAGCAAGCTCGTCCGCGAGTCTGTGTTCGTCTCCGAGCTCGAGCAGGAGTTCACGTCACGGCTGGGCCTGAGTTGCTCCGAATCCAGCCTGAGTCCTTCCGTGGCCTCGACCCTGGGCCTGTGGCTGGCTGGCCTGGGCCTACACGATTACGAGCCGCTCTTCAGGGAGAGCGGCTACGATGACGTAGAATTTATTGTAGGTACCATTTATAATAACAATAGTTTTAATAAGAACATTATCCAAGAGACAGAAGGGATCACTAATATGATTAATTATTTCAATGAAGAGTTTTCCATTTTTAGTTATTTAGTGTTAGTTTTATGTCGATATTTAATTCTGATACTCGTATCCATCCCTGAGATATGTAACATTTAAAATATTCAATGTCAATGTCATTTGTGTAATCTAAGGCTGGGTTGCACCATCTTACTTTAACTTTGGCAAACGTCAAAAATCTGTCAAACTCCATACAAAATAGACCGGTTATCCTTATAGTTACGGTCAAAGTTAGGTGGTGCAACTCAGCCTAATTGTTGCTACTTGAAACATTAGCCCTCCTTCTGGCGCATTCGGGTAAAAATAATATTTACTTCTCAGAGAGCTCTTAATAAAAAACATCTGATCGTTATGTTACTTTTACTCGACTTTCCCAACTCCAGTAAATATTTTGTTTCAGAATGGAATCCTAGACGAAAATGACCTACGAGAAATGGGTATAGACGAAGCGGATAGACAGAAAATACTAGAGTCATCGAAACAGTTACCTCTTAAAATAACAGAAATAAGCAATAACCATAACAATAATAATATAAGTAAGAACCAAAACGAATCTGTAGAAGAATGGCTAAGGAATATTAATTTAGAAATATATAGTGATACGTTTAGAAAGCATTTGTATGTAGACATGGATAGAGTGAAAAGAATTTGGGAGGTAGAATTGACGGCTGTGCTAGAAATACATAAGCCTGGACACAGGAAGCGAATATTGGCGTCGGTGTCTGGCGAACACAATGGGCCTGCGACTAACAATATGGAAGAAATTAACGCTGATCTCAACACTTTGGTAAGTTTCTTTTATTTTTCTTATTTGAATGATTTCTTGCAACTTTGACGTAGCACAATCATTCTAATGTACATGTTAAAATTTGTAACTGTCAATTTTGCAAGTATACTCAAGGTTGGAACGTGCTACTATTATTAATGTTCGTATTAGCATAATTATTTCTTCATACCACATGTCATCGGTTTTTTGTCCACCTAATAATTGATATACATCATGTCGCAGTCACCATGACTCATGGGTATACTGGTGGTATCACCCAACGTGCATATTTAATAGTTTCTCATAATCCCATTGGAAGTTTTAATATTCATATCGCCCGCAGGCTATAAAAAGATTGAAAGGTGTGTAGAATATGGTGTGACTTGATTGTAATATTGAAATCACCTGTGAGTGGACCTTTTGTTTGAACTCGTAATGAGTATAATGTGTGGTAAAAACTATATATTGCATTAACGCTTGGACGAATCATTAACGCAATGTCTAAATGAAAATAACACAGCTGATTCTGTTTACCTAAATGGATACCCGCCTACTTCATAATATAATCAACCTATTGCTAATAATGTACACATAGCCGGCTTATAAGTAGTCGTAACGTAACAAATGACATCACTATCCACTTTGAGAACGAAAAACACGTCTGTTCATATTATATTTTAAAATGTAATTTCAAACAAATTATAGGCAAACCAACCTATTTCTATGCATTTTGTACTTAATATCACCTTTGCAAGAGCAATTGATAAATTAAGTAGGTTCACAAATACGTTATTATTAACATAAATGCAAAGTAGGTAACTAAGCGGTATTTTATTGGTGCAATAAAATGAACGATGCACTCACACAGAAGGCCGGTAAAAAGGACATCCTCAGTGTTAACTCGTCAGCTAGAATTAATGTGGGGTCGTGCAGGGAGTTACCATGGCACCGGTGACCTAAAATGTACAAGGATGTAATTCATTTTATCCTTTTTGTTATGAATGTCGGAAAAGAATTATATCACTTTTATTTTCGAAGTAAAGTCAGATTTATCAAACTTCATACTATTTGAACCTAACACAATTTCAAGTTATACATTTTAACAACGGCATCCGACCAAATAATCAATTTTCCTGTCATAACATCTACTACATTAAACATTCAGTCCGTAACCATTGTCTGCTTTACAAAAACAAGTTCTAAAGGCTTAACGAAACTAGGTAGCCTCCATTACCAGAGCGAGACTTGATTTATCAATGGTCGTACCGCATAAAACCGCACCGTGTCAGGTGCATTATGCACCTTTTGATGACATTCCGGCCGGTGCATTATTTACGGAGGATGTCCCTTCACCATATCGGGTGTCGGGTGACAGTATATTCCGGTTTTGTCGACGTTAGTGGCAAATGCACATTTGATGAGGTGATGATAGCAATAATAATTAAATTAGTAGCTGAGTATTTTTTTAAACAGGGAGTAAAACAGGTTAGCAAAAACGGCAACAATGAAATTAGATTTATTATCTCGCATTAAGTAGATACTTATCGTATAACAACGGAAACGAAAGCTTTTTATTATGCATTTCTTTTATTTATCTAACAATTTTCTAAATTTGGGGGAAGCCTATGTTCAGATAATACTTTACGTTGGTATAGATCATGACGATGATGCTTTTAATAAACATGGCATTGACATGCTGAAGTTCAGCAGTGAATGTCCTGTGGCTGAAATGATGATGATGATGAATTTGCAAAATGTGTGTTACCCCCATTTTCAAATCTTGATTTGCAATTAATTAAAATCTTTCCTATTATCATCACTAATGTCATGTTTATTAAGCATCATCGACATGATCTACATACCACCTTTATATTATCTAAATCTATAATTAATTAATCTAGGATTGTAATCTTGTTCAATGTTGATTACATTTTAAGTGTTAACACTAAAAACGTACCACTTGCCAATATCAGCCCCCTACCTGTAGGGGGTAGCCAAGCAACCCCCTCGTGTGTAATTATCGACAAGATGAGCAATTTAACAGGGATTAGCCATTTTAATCCCGCAGGTGACTTGGGGTTCGCGATGATAATGTTATTTAACGTGTTTCGTATGGGGTATCAGTTACCTACAGTTAAGGGGATCGGAGTTTTATTGCAAGTTCAAAAAGGTGTTTTAAAATCAGACTTAGTTTATTGCGTTGCTTTATCAAACCAGACGATATCATATTATGATCCGATTCTTATTCAACTTATTCTCTTTTCATACATTATTCATACCTTCCCTTATACCTATTCTAAACCTGTCCTCTAGGACCTAGGTTGTCTGGAAGGGATAGCCTTATAGCTATAAGACCGTCTTTTCTGTGTGTTTCTTTCTTATCTTTTCTTGCTTTAGTGGTACAACAATAAAGCGTATTCTATATCTATCTATTGTGTGCTATTCCTTAATTTGATTCTGTTACTATTAATTAAGCTATCTAAATTCTTCCATACACTAAAACATCATTCTATCCACTAGTGCTCACATAAAACCCTAACTTTTATTCACTATTTCCTCTCACTCAATTTTTTTCTCATTCAAGCCAGTCTAGACGCGCACCGGTTTTAATTTCACACGTCGGTGGTTCCGTATAGGTAATTAGTGTTCAATTCGACGTCTATTCAGCTCCATTCAGGGCGAGTGAGGTACTCCGTAACCGCGTAGGTCCGTACCACTAAAATGTTGCCCTAACTATTTGTCTGTGTCCTTTTTGTATCTATTTGTATGATGTGTTTTATTTATTTAAAAAGATCACCAACAAGTTTACACTAATCTAGATTTGTACAACAATAACATTTGGTTTCATGCTAAGTGTAACAGTATAACAGCGTCCATCAATGTTGAGAGACATGCGGTTAAATGGAGTATAAATAAATATTGTTACAAGTATAATAAATAACTTAAATAATACAACTACGCGTAGAATACTGAATACCTACAGTTACTGTTATTCCAATAATGTATTTTCAGTGTGTAGGTATTTTTTTAATTCACCAAAATAAGTACAACTAGCACATAATAAAAATATCAGATATGCAGTTAACTTATTACTTAAGGCTCTAAAACTTCTTTTAATATGGCATAATGTTTTTTGTTTATATCGCATTCTCAACCTTTTTTAGCACCTGCAGTTCTAGTTTAGAAAACAAATTGTATCTTTACTTTATTGTAAAGTTCTGGAATACGAGTATTATCCTTTTTTCTATGTCGAAAACTCCTAGTAGCCCAAAGCTAGCTAGCGGCCCATTCGAGCTCATCCCCACGGAAGGCACTATTCATCGGCCGCTGAATACACTCGGGCCTGTTGTCGCCAAACCTCCTCAAATTAGTTGGTTGACACTGTCAATTATACCGCATTCATGCCTCTGTCTCTCTGATTTAGTACCTTAATTAAAAATTCACGCCATTTTTTTTTCGCTTTTGTTTTGCACCTCTGAAGTGTGAGTCGAGGGCCATTTCAGCCCCCTATTGTGTTACCCTTTTGTATAATTAGGTTTCGTTTTGAGTTTACAGTTTGTAGTTTCGCTAGTGTCAATTGGTTCGGTACGATGATTCCACATGCATGTGCGATTCGTAACACGCTCGTGCGATGGAAATATTGAAAAATAACGATGCCATTTGCGGAGGTATTAGAGCATATGACGCGTTAGGGTATCGTATCTAATTGGTTAGATCATAGGTGATGTAAAGTTCAGTTTTGCAATGCTTTTAGGTGATCTTTGCCTATTAGAATTTGGTACTGCTATCATCAGTCTACTCCAGTAATGGACATAATCCTTTTCACTGGCCACTAAGTGTGATCATCGATTTTTTCTTTACATTGCTACTAGCCACCTTAAGTCGATGCATCATCTAGGTACTGCAGACATCTTGTACTTATCAAAACGCGGTCTCCACTTCCAACCTCAGTAACTAGGTACACCGAAAACGGAAATATTTCACTAACCATATAACTATTGTTTTAGAAGAACAACATACAGCAGCTAAAAGAAGAAATCAAAGAAAAGCTACCAGCTTCAGAGAACTTGAAACCTGTGCCTCCTCCCGTTGTTCCTACCCTGGCGCCACCTGGTGGGGAAACCTTGAAGCGCAGTAAGAAGAACAGGCCGGCTCCTCAACCCCCTAGGCCATCGGACCTGGAGATCAGGGCTCCATCAGAACTGCTGGTTGGAGTCCCAGGAGCCTTGAGGACGCAGTGGAAACACCAACCGTTCGTGCTAGTCACTGGTGCTGTTACCTATGTAGCTAATGTAAGTATTATTAAATTGGCAGGTATTTATTAGATACCAAAATAATGATGCCAAAACGTAGAAAAACAAGTGTTTGCACAGGTGCATTCAACACGTTGAATTCAAACTCGTTAATAATAATTACATCTTGCGTAATATTTATTTTTAATTTAGACACTAATTTATACTATCAAAGGCATAACATTCTGTTATGTATTTCCATTAGCAATTCATGCAATATTTCACACCAATGGTAGACGATTTAGAAAAGGTCAACTAAAGTTTTATTTATCAGTGTCAATATCAAAGGTTATTTAATGTTAAAGGTTATTATTAATTAAATAAGCTTGATTTAAATAGTTTTTTTACTGCAAAACAAGGCAGGCATATTCCAGCTGTTGTGTAACCAATTGCATTTGTTTGTTCAGTACCTAGGTTCAACGGTAGTCAAAGAACTCCGCGGGACCGAATCCACGAAGAAGTCCATTCAGAAGCTGAAGAAGTCTACCAAAGAACCGAGGGATTCCCCCGACATCATACTTTCCATCAGCTACAGAGGTGTCAAGTTCCTGAATACCATTACCAGGGTAAGTTATTTAAGATTTCTCATCAAGATTTAATTGTCAGTGTCATGCAAGTTTATAATTTTGCTGAACTATCTACCATCTATTTTATTAACACGAAGTGTACAACTTTCTCTACTTCAAGTTTTAGATCCTGAGCTTAAATATTTATGGGATATCGATTGAAAATAATGTGTTCGTTTCTAACGTATCTCGAATAAGAACACATAACCTTACATCATTATCAACATCTTAAAACTCAAGAGAAGTACTTGTATTATCTAGACACACTTCAGCTCTCAGGGTTGCGATGGCTTGGATTAATTATTATCTATTTACTTTCTTGTAAACCGGACTTGCAAGTATCTTAATCGTTTGTTTTGAAGCAGAAAGCAATTCTGGGGACCATAGAAAATACATATTTTATTTTATTTGGAACGTGTAAATCTTGCTTAATTGTGTTACCATTTGTTGTTTAGACTTAGAAAAATACGTTAGACAGAATTCTGTTTTGGAAAGATTTAAGTTTTACACTCTGAAATTAATATTTTATATAAATTAATATTGTTAGCAAAATTCTCTCCAGAAAAGATGTTTATTCTTTGATGGGCAACCGAGCGAAAACCGGCAAGCATCCCTGGGCCCAAACAAAAAGGGATCCACTAAACAAAACCCCTGACTTTGCCCGCTTGACTTTTAATTATGGACCATCCTTCACACTTGATCGGACCACTGGTCTTGCCTTTGTTTCTTAAAAAAAGGATTGCTTTTTCTCAATTTTTTTCTTTAACCAATTTTTGTTAGAACTCTTCACGGTTAGTTAAGTGGGATAATTAGTGTTTTTTCGCTGTTTACGCTTGTAATGTTCGGACGAAATTCGAAATTGAATCTGTTTTTTGAACGATAAAAAGTAGGGTGAGAAATAAAAAGTTTCTGTTGGTTCTTTTGATTATAATATTTGCCTGCTGGGCGTTTTGATTACGTTTCTATGAAAATTCATAAAACGTGAATTTATATTTAGTATACTGCCTGTAGGCATTCGAAATCTAATCGCAATACTTAAAAATCTTTTACGGATGCCTGACTTTGTGTTATGAATATAGGAGTATAATGTCCGAAATCGTGATCTATGCGTTTATTCTATATTTATTAGGTATCTAGTACGCATAGATTTGAGCTAAGTTGGTACGCATAGATTAGGAACATAATTATGGAATAATTTACGTACTTTCTGCCTCATCAACGCGTCTAAAGGTCATGCTCCAGCAGTGTAGACTAAAATGAACTGACTATACAAGTCTATTCCCATCTCTCGTTCCTACCGCTGCAAATCCTGTGCAGCCAGGACTGTAGAACAGTAACTGATGATGATGAGGATTATATAGTAACTGATGATGATGTAAATAACGTATTTTCTAAACCATTTTCTGCACCATCTAGGAGCTGGTCTGCGAGCACGAGATCCGCAACATCCACTGCGCGTGCCAGGACGCGGACGACCTCACCCACTTCGCCTACATTACCAAGGACCACGCCACTAGGAGCCACTACTGCCACGTCTTCAGAGTCGCTACTATGGTGAGCTTCTTCTATTGATTTATTGTTACCTTCTTTGACTTTACCGTCTTCAGAGTCGCTACTATGGTGAGCTTCTTCTGTTTATTTAGCGTTACCTTATTTGACTTTATCGTCTTCTATTCGCTACTATGGTGAGCGTCTGCTCTTGATTTAGTATTACCTTCTCTGACTTTCTATAGCTTTTGTTTTGAATATTACTTCTGATTATTGTATTTTGTGTGAAAATTAAAATGATACTTAATTGACTAATTCATTTTCTTGAAGCTTCGTAACTTTTTAATTCCGTGATTACGAATATAAACTAAAAATGTTAAAAAATCCTGTATGTTGGAAAAAAAAGCATAACTCGAAAGTTATCAAAAGTCGCGGTGTTTGGGGTAGCCCTAGTGATGCTCTATCTCTGGGCTTCGGCTTGAAACAATTTTTTGAGACACCCTGTATAATTCTGCAAAAAATTAAGTAGCTAACTAAATATGAATAAAACACCTAAAATATAACTAAATCTGTCTATTTGTCTATTACAGGATCAAGCGACCGAAGTAATTCTAACATTAGGTGAAGCCTTCGAAGTGGCCTACCAAATGGCTCTACGGGAACAGTCGAACCGGGTCCGAGTGACCCAGTCAATGGCCAAGACCCCGACCCACGACCCCATGACGACCAGCAACAAGGAGAAACCCAACGTCAATCACGGGAGATCACATTCCATTACCGAAATCAAACTCAACGGACATCAATTGAAAATCGCTCCAATCCCAGCATCGTTGTCGAACGAAGACTTCCAAGCTGCCACCAGAAATTCCGATGGGTCCAGAAGCCCTAGGACACCTCTGCTAAAAGCCCCAATAGCATCCACGGAGGAATTGTGAAAGCAACCCTCTAATGCTACTGTAACTTTATTAAAATCGAACGAAAATACTAAATACGATATATGGCGAAGGAAATCTTTAAACTTTTGATTCCAATCGCCAAAAAAATTAATGGAAGACATCACTAATTGGATTTCTTGAGTCTTCCTAAAACGCGAACTTCCAAAAACACGATTTTGAAATTCAATGAAATTCCTCGAATTGTTGTTAATAATATACATTAAGTATTAAAATATTATTATTAGGCTTGGGTGTTTTAATATTGTATAAAGGACCAGTTACTCAAAATAGATTCTTCTGGTCTCGCATTGTGGTATTTGTATAAGGATATAACTATTTTACTTCGATTTCGACACTGCTTTTACGAACCATACCTAATTTATTTATCTGTTGTACGATATTAGATAATACGATTTTGCTATGGAATAGTAAAATTTTAGGGGCTGTTATATTTATAGTAGTTTTTAATGATTGTATATTTTTGTTTCCTCTAGCAATATGTGCTGTTAAATGAGATATATCATCAACATTAATGAGTATTACAACGTTTGTTGGTCCAAATAATATGACATTTTAATATGAAGAATATTAATCGTATGAACTCGAGACATGTGTAATCGATAAAATTTTAAGATACTTCAAAAATAATTACATTGATATTATTTTACGCTTTTGGACATATTGATATTCGTTTAGGCCTAAAATATTAATCTCTATCCTAGATATTATGATAATAATGTTTGTGTATCGCGTTACCATTTTTCGGTGTCGTAATGTATGTACATAGATAGATGTATTTGAGTGTATGGACGGGGAAATATGGGATATTGTATGGAACTTCTTGAGAGAATAGCGAGATCGCCTAACTTATAGTACATAAAACATATCAACCAATGTTATATGTTATTGGAATTCAAAAATATTATGAACGACGGTGACTAGAGTTTATCGGAGAACCTTGGCGTAATAAAATTTGTATTTAAAAGTGAGCTTCCGATGTTACTTTTGCATATTATTGTAGTTTTTAATAGTGTTAATTGTCGTTATACGTACAATAATCGTGTCTCAAAATGACAAAAAATAAACTGTTTAAAAGTTTTTTTCAATTATAGCAACTGTTTGCTCAATACCACGCCGTTTTCGGAGTCAGTTTTTGATATTGTTCATAAAGTTTTTTGAATCATATTTGGGTTTACGTTGATGTGTGTCGTTGCTAAAGTCTGACTATTTTAATTTGAGATTTGGTGTAATCTTATGTGATATGAGAAGTAAAAGTATTCAAATGATTTTTGTTTCTTTCATTTCTGTACGACCTTGGTATTTTGTATCTATATGTTTATTTGTATATGAAGCACAGATTATAAGAGTTATCGTTGTTTGTGATTATAATAAAATATTTATGTTTATGGACGAGCTATTCAATAGTTGAATATAAATATATGTGTATGAATAATGTAGTATATTAGATATAGTATAAAATAAACAGAACTGTGCCAAATTTCAGTGATACAGGAGATCATCGCCAATACTAGCCGTTGGATGTATGCGAAGTAAAAATGCTCATTACTAACACCAATTTACTATGTTCAGGCCTCATTTTTATATTAATTATATTAAATTTACGTATGGTTACTGGCACGTCGGCCTATTACAAATTGACACATTCCTCAATTGATTTTCGACCTTATCTCAAAGCCATAAAGTTCAAAGTCGATTGAGGAAATTGTCTCTTTTTGGTAGGTTGACATGCTGATCACTATAATAGAGTTAGTGAAATTTTGGCGACCGTCCTAAAGACTGAGGGCGACATTTTATATTGCAATATTTACACATAGTTTTGTTTAGATTTATTAAGAGAGCGTAGAACTAAAATAAGTTTCTGTAGAATTCAACGAGGAGCATTTTTACTATTCTTTTTATAACGTTGTTCACCACAGTCGTATATAGGGTGTCAAATACTTTAGCAAACACCCTATTTACGATACAATGAGCTAATTAATATAAGTATAACTTTTTAAAAATTAATAATTATACATCAGCTTATACAGCTACTGGTTACGTTTATATTGAAACACTACATTTTCACATGGGGTAACTCAAATTTGCGTATAAAAGAAAAGAGTGTATGTATACCAAAGATTAAGTAGATAAGTGAAAATATTCAGAATAGGTTTTTGCGAAAGTAAATAATATATTACTGTTATAATAGATTATGCTGATAATATAATAATGGCAATACGTAGTATGGAAATATCACTGCCGTGAAAACGAAGTTATTTTACAATGTTGTAATGGTTATTCTTTTTATATGTATTTTATACTTATTTCCTTGTCTCACTGCTTCTTTTCCTAATTCAATTCTTTATCCTTCAATCTTAAATTATTAATAATACTTATGCTATTATCAAATAATGCTTCTGTATGTTATTATTACTTATATAATGAAATTATTGGTTGTGTCCCACTGTTTATTTATGTATAACTATACTTACTATATTATATTGTAGTTGGTCCTTCGAATATTATTGTAAATACCTATCTATAACGAAATATTATATTCAAAATTCAATAAATTGTGAAATATTGTGTGAGGCTTTCTTATTTAATTTATCTATCTCCCATTTTTGACATAGTACCGGCTTACTTATTGCTTTTTCATATATCAGAGAATATTTAGAGCAATTAGGAACGTAGTTTTTACACCTTTATAGCCCTTAGGTAAGAAAAGTAAGTATCTTATGCTTGTTTTAACCATCAATCCCTAATTTTTAAGTGACCCCTATGGTAACAAATGACATGAATTTTGTTTACATAGGGGTCACTTAAAAATGAGGGATTTATGGTGAAAACGGGCATCAATCTAGGTACTACCAGAAAACTAAAAACTATTCTATTATCAGATTTAATATTCAAGGCAGCTTTTTCTAATTAATTAGCTAATCTCCGAAATAGCTGAACCGATATTGACAGCATTGCGGGCGGCAGATAGTTGATTGTATAACTGTGAAAACTCGGATATAAATAGTACCTATTCTTCTTTTAAATAAAAAATAATTAGTCGTGCGTGCATAAATAAAATAATTTTCTAAAATATGAAATGAAATTCAAGACGAAAACAACGGAGGCAAAGCCGTGAGCAGAAGCTAGTTACGAGTATGCCCTACTGAATAGGTAACACCAGTTTTAACGTGACATAAAAACTATTATTTAATACCAATAGTATTAAATTACATGTTTTCATTTCATTTTTACATTTTATCGAGGTATGGTAACTAATTCTAGAAAAAATCTTAGCGTTAGCTTCTCAAACTAATAAATTACATCTTAAAAAATCGACTGTCTAAGGCGGGAATCGAACCCACGACCGCTTGCCGGGCGAATGCCTCGCTCTTCATTTCCCCGCCTCAGGCAGTTCGATTTTTTCAAGTAACTTAGAGTAGGCGCACACCGTTGATTTTTAGTTGTATGAAGAATCGGCCAAATCAAATCGGCGTAGTGTGCGCACTCCTATACATGCCCATACTGATCAACTGCCCGACTAAACTATCGGCCGACGAAAAATCAACGGTGTGCGCCTACTCTTATTCATGATTTAATTTTAGAAAGCCCCTTTTTCTATTAAATGCAGTAAATCACAAAATTACCACCCAGTATACTCGTATATTAGGCATTTAAATTTAATTAATAAATTATATTGGTTAGTATATTCAAGAGGATAATTTTACTTCAATAATAAAACCTAAAAGAACAGCTTTTACACCGTGTAATTTTATCGTGAACAATAACTTATTTACAAGCCAACAGTGTTTATCCAGCGATAAATTTGCAGCTTCTAACACCAGCCACAGTCCAAATAGAACAGCCATGTCACTCCATGAAACAGTGAAAAAGAAACCTCCAAACATTGCCTGTATCACAGACCTAACATATTGTTACAGACAACTCTATCATTGATACACAATACGTCGTCGTCAAATAACACACAAAAGTATCATTTAGGCGGTTATCACACTGCGCCACGCTCCGCCGCGGAGCGCGTGATTTCATATAAAAAATCACGCGCGCGGACGCGTTGTCAGTGTGAAGTGCCGCGCGTGTTTTCCATACAAACTGAGGTACTTGCATACAATTATTAAATATGTCGGTAGTAGTATACAGTGTGATAACCGCCATACTATTACCCCGTGATTCAGACTTAGGCAAGTGTTATGAATCCGCAAGCATGTTACGGGATTATGGTTGAGCACCAACTTACTTTAACTTTGACTAACGTCAAAAATCTGTCAAACTCCATACAAAATACACCGGTTATAGTTACGATCAAATTTAGATGGTGCAACTCAGCCTTAATCTTTACGGTTAGGTATGATTACCTACACTATGACATTGATGTAGGTAGGTACGTATACCTCCATTAACATTCATGGCATTAACAATTATCTCACGTTCACGGCAAATTATTCCCATAATTTAACTACCATCTGAGTTTTGATGAACTGGCTGTTCTAACCACCCTTTGCCCCGTTTAAAAAAACGCCTAATTACATAAGCACCATTAGACACGCCGAAAAAAGGTTGAGTTTAAGCGCCATTAGTTAATCGCGTCGCTCGATTAGTCGAGAGAGATGGGAGCGAGCTGAGCTGACCTGCCTTAGCCCGGATAAATAGCGGACAGATTACAAGGCAGGAGGTGAAATAAAGCACTCATTAACAATTTTCCAAGACATTTTACTGGTAAATACTACAGAAAGCCGAAAGCAAGTGTCCCGAGTCCATCTAGTGTGGGCCTAATCCTCCATTTGCCGTGCTCATTTTCTCATGACCTGACGATGATGATGATGGAGCGATGGGAGCGAGCTACAAGGCAGGAGGTGAAATAAAGCACTCATTAACATTAAACCAAGACATTTTACTGGCACTACGGAAAGCAATACGGGCACATAGCTCGTAGAGACGATGGCCGTTGGGGCAGAAAAGTTCTCGAGTGGCGACCACGGGCTGGCGTGCGTGGGCAGGCCTCCTACTAGGTGGACCGACGATCTGGGAAAGATCGCGGGAAGAGCCTGTATGCGGGCAGCACAGGACCGATAATTAAGGAGACCTCTGTCCAGCAGTGGAAGTCATTTGGCTGAAACGAACTACCTACGGAAAGCCAAAAAGAGGTGTCAGCCCTCCCAAGCCCATCTAACGTGGGCCTAATACTCCATTTGCCTTGCTCATGCAGTGTAGACCAAATGACCTGACGATGATGATGCCAAAGGAAAGCCGAACATTGGGGACAGATTGTGAGATCCATCTCTCATCAAGGATGACACTTCCAGAAATGAAGAACATGACTACTATGAATATTTTTTAAGTCATTTGCAGCTTGAGCAGATTGAGTAGCTAAAGCAGCTATAATATGGCGCGACCCCTGAACTCCTATTACTAGAGTTGTGACCTCATTTATATCAGACCAAACAATAGAAGAAGATACTATAATAGAAGTCTAGGTACCTATTTCACCCGTGGATAGAACTAATGAAGCACTTTCAGGATCAGTATTTAACCAGTTTTTCGATATCTTTTATAGTTTAGCAATAATCGAGTGAGATCACTTAACGTTTCCACCCTGTATTAACATGCCTAATAGTCGAGAGTCACTCCTAAGATATACTTAACCAAGAATCTAATGAGACGTGAAGCTTACGTTCGTTAACAATTAGCCATATCACGTCCGCTACTTAAGGGATATGGATGACCAGGAAGTAAGAACCCCTTTACTAAGCAGGTTTTCTCCATCAAGGTCGCCCTTTGATACTTGCCAAGAAGCTCTAAGGCAGATAAAATATGTCATGAGAATTCAAACATTAAAAGAGATATGAAAACTAACTTTTTTTTTGCTCAAAAAATTTTTTTTTTACCGGTGATGAAAACAGAAATCGGCAGGGTAAATATCTTATTTACCGTTATAAATGTTTTGTTGCAAAATCCCGTGGAGTGATAATTTTAACAGAAATGTTTGAATAAAGAACTTTACACGTAAAAGATTCCTTAAAGTTCAGTATCCAATCTGCTACACCCTACTTATATTAACTTGATCGTAAAATCGGTTGCATCACGGAAACCGATTTGCAGTGCAATGCGATTAGGCGTCGGGCGACGCGATCCGGCTTCGACACGTAATCACGTAGATGTCTCTGCCTGCAGAAATCAAATTATTAGATGACATGATCGGCATCAATTACTAGAATCTAATTGTCAAAATAAAGAAAATACAAATATCTTAATCGAATCAAATGTAACGTTTCTGAATCGATTTTTCTTTTCAGAATTTAGCAATGTATAGTTATGTCACCGTAAAATTGTGAATTCCGTCAGATTATAATCTGACGTAGTTAAATTACAATCTAACCTAACCTAACCCACTGTTAGTTTACAATCTAACGAGTTAAGTATATTATAAACTGACAGAGTTCACAATTTCACGTTGACAGTTACACTACGATAACTGTATTATTTCTACGCTGCAAACCTTTAATTGCGATTTTAAAAGTAGCTTTCATTTCTGAAACTAGTTACCTACCTATCATTTTTCCCGGTTACACATCGTTGCCTCCATCCGTTCCTAGCAATATTTATCTTCAGCTTTAAGGATCCATCTTAAAAATCCAGGGCATCGAGAAACCCATTTGCTGCAATCGCGAGCGGTCCGATCGACCGGCTGATGGCAATTTGACGCGCCACCTCGCGGAAATATTGCGACGCTTATTACCGCAGTCAGCTAGCGAGCTGGGGATCTAGATATCGTGGACAATATTTGCAGAGAGGGTACTAATATTAGTAGGTATTAAATCTGCGTTAACTTTGCTTATAGCTGATTTTGTCACTTCAAAAAGAAATATTGCGGCGCTTATTACCGCAGTCAGCTAGCGAGCTACGATTTGGATCGGGGACATATTTGCAGTGAGGTATTAGATTTTAATATCAGTTAGATTATATGCGTCTGGAGCAAGAGCTGATTTGTCAGACATACACTTTATAAACTTTTAACGAAGGGCTGTCTAAATATTGTTGTTGTATAAACGACTGTTCTGTAACAGTCGTTTATAAATCGCTTTGCA